ACTCGTCATCTTCAGGCTGGTGCTTTCGGCTTCTTGTTACTGGAACAGAGCAGGATCTCAGTGTTTGAGTTCCTATAAATACTGTTGAGGGGGTGTGGTGTATAGCCTCCAATGTTCTGGGCAGAGAGGAAGTTCCCAGGTTAGTGTGCCTTTTCTTCTTTTGTTCCTTAATTACTTGAGGGATATCTTGAGTGATTTCTTGAGTGATATCCTGAGTACCACTTAGGTGGGTCATTAGGTGTGGATTAGTTGCTAAAGCCTTCGTGTCTTGACCTCTTGAACTTTGTGAAGAGTTTTTCTGAGAAGATGGCTGTACTGCACTTAGTTGTGCTCTGGCTTGGCTTCGTGTATAGGGGCGAGCTGTGGTTTTGTGTCCTGTGCCAGCCAGATCTGTGTAGGGATTGCAGGGGGGTGCAGCATCCGGAGGTGCCACCATGGTTTGGCTACTGGATGGTGTCTGTAATTTATCTGTGGAGAGGGTCTGGGTTTGGGTCTGGTGTGGTTGATTGGTGATGGCGTTCTGTGTGCCTCTGGATCTGGTGTCGGTTTTTGTGGGGAGGGCTAATTTCCAGATGTCTGGCAGGCGGGATGTGTCGTCACGTTTGTTCATGTTGTGAGGGTGTTTCTCTATCTCGATGGCTTCCATGATTATTCTCTTGTGGTGATGTTCCATGTTAGAGAGCAATTTGGAATCTGCAAAATTAATTTCGTGTCCTGTTTCTTTCATGTGTTGGAAAAGAGAGGAAGTTTTTTCTTCTTTTTTGACGGCATTCTTGTGTTCTGCGATACGTGCATTTATTCGTCTGTTTGTTTGTCCAATGTACGTGGCTGGGCAGACTTTGCAGGGTATTTCATAGACCCCTTGGTTTTCCAACTGGATTTTATCCTTGGGGTTTCTGAGGATATTGGCTATTTTTTGGTTGGTGCAAAAGGCTGTTTTGATATTGTGTTTATGGAGGATTTTGCTAATTTTATCTGTAGTGCCCTTGATATAAGGAAGGAGGGCCATGCCATTGTTTTCTTCTGTGTCTTGGTTTTTGGGGGGTGTTTCTTTTTGCATTAGCTTCGTAACCCTGTTTTGCTGGTATCCATTGGCGATTAACACATTGGAGAGATTCTGTAACTCAGTTGTCAAGTGGTCTTTGTCAGCCAGGCGTTTGGTTCTGGAGATGAGAGTCTTGGCTACGGAGTTTATTTGTGCAGGGTGGTGGTGTGATTGTGCATGTAAGTAGCGGTTGGTGTGTGTTTTTTTCCGGTAGATAGTGTGTCCTAGGGAGCCATCAGGTTTTTTGTAGATTAGGACGTCAAGGAAGGGAAGTTGGTTGTTGGCTTCTATTTCCATAGTGAATTGTATTTTGGGGTGTAGGCTGTTGAGATGTCACACATCTCAACAGCCTACACCCCAAAATACAATTCACTATGGAAATAGAAGCCAACAACCAACTTCCCTTCCTTGACGTCCTAATCTACAAAAAACCTGATGGCTCCCTAGGACACACTATCTACCGGAAAAAAAACACACACCAACCGCTACTTACATGCACAATCACACCACCACCCTGCACAAATAAACTCCGTAGCCAAGACTCTCATCTCCAGAACCAAACGCCTGGCTGACAAAGACCACTTGACAACTGAGTTACAGAATCTCTCCAATGTGTTAATCGCCAATGGATACCAGCAAAACAGGGTTACGAAGCTAATGCAAAAAGAAACACCCCCCAAAAACCAAGACACAGAAGAAAACAATGGCATGGCCCTCCTTCCTTATATCAAGGGCACTACAGATAAAATTAGCAAAATCCTCCATAAACACAATATCAAAACAGCCTTTTGCACCAACCAAAAAATAGCCAATATCCTCAGAAACCCCAAGGATAAAATCCAGTTGGAAAACCAAGGGGTCTATGAAATACCCTGCAAAGTCTGCCCAGCCACGTACATTGGACAAACAAACAGACGAATAAATGCACGTATCGCAGAACACAAGAATGCCGTCAAAAAAGAAGAAAAAACTTCCTCTCTTTTCCAACACATGAAAGAAACAGGACACGAAATTAATTTTGCAGATTCCAAATTGCTCTCTAACATGGAACATCACCACAAGAGAATAATCATGGAAGCCATCGAGATAGAGAAACACCCTCACAACATGAACAAACGTGACGACACATCCCGCCTGCCAGACATCTGGAAATTAGCCCTCCCCACAAAAACCGACACCAGATCCAGAGGCACACAGAACGCCATCACCAATCAACCACACCAGACCCAAACCCAGACCCTCTCCACAGATAAATTACAGACACCATCCAGTAGCCAAACCATGGTGGCACCTCCGGATGCTGCACCCCCCTGCAATCCCTACACAGATCTGGCTGGCACAGGACACAAAACCACAGCTCGCCCCTATACACGAAGCCAAGCCAGAGCACAACTAAGTGCAGTACAGCCATCTTCTCAGAAAAACTCTTCACAAAGTTCAAGAGGTCAAGACACGAAGGCTTTAGCAACTAATCCACACCTAATGACCCACCTAAGTGGTACTCAGGATATCACTCAAGAAATCACTCAAGATATCCCTCAAGTAATTAAGGAACAAAAGAAGAAAAGGCACACTAACCTGGGAACTTCCTCTCTGCCCAGAACATTGGAGGCTATACACCACACCCCCTCAACAGTATTTATAGGAACTCAAACACTGAGATCCTGCTCTGTTCCAGTAACAAGAAGCCGAAAGCACCAGCCTGAAGATGACGAGTGAGACCTCGTCGAAACGTCGCCTAGACACCCCAACTTTTACACGGGAAGACACCCGAGGACACCAAAACCTGCATATATATATATATATATATATATATATATATATATATATATATTTGTGATCCTTCTTCTTTAGGAATTCATCTATAGCACACTTTTGACGGTTCAAGATTTCTACCTGTGGGAGAGTGTAATATAAATGCTAGCGACTTTGATATGATGTCTATTGGACAGAGAGTTTCTGTCCCATCCCAGATGAATTGATTTAAGACTAGAATACATTAGAGTCCCTCCTAGCCCAGTGGACCTGTAATTTTAGCACCATTCAATTAGTGGCATTGCTATACAACTACCAAATAAAAGCAAAATGTAAGTTTTGCAGTTCTGGGCATTCATGAACTTAACTAAGTGGTATCCATATACCCTTTTCATCTTCCAGACTGGGGCAGAGCTGTGCTTTTTATGTAGACTGCGCTATGTCTGCACAGTACATGCCGCAAAACTATTTCTTCACTATTATCTTGGGCCCTGAAAAGTTCAAGAGATAAGCCAGCATGGGGAAAAACAACTCCATTTCTCTTCCTATCACTTTCTAAAATTGCTTGATTGTTTCCACTTTCCAGCTACTGGAGCTGCTCTTCATTCCCAAGAACTCTTCTGATGCTGCACCACTGCTATGCACAAAGCAGATTAACACCCCCCCCCCGCAAAAGGGACTTGCATGTTGTAATATGTACAATAAACCTCTCTCTTCCCCCACTTCACACTTTTCACTAGAATGCTAACTTTTAAACTGACCAAAGAGAGTTGGGAAAGTTTCAAGAAGCAACACCACGTTCATAGGGCTGAATCGAGTGGCTTTTCCATGTTGCACTGTCCATGGTGCTGATGCATGGTTTATGCATCCCATGCTTAAGAGACGGCAACTTGATCTTGCTGCAAGACATCATCCCAAAGCCACAAACTTTCTCTACTAAATCAGTGGCAGCAAACCTTTCATTATCCCATCCCGCCCCCTACTTACAACTGGGAAAGATACCCCCCCACCCCACGTTCTATGGAATTGAAGTTAATATTCCCTGGGTCGCCATGGTGATAGTGAGCTCTGTTCCTTCGAGCAAGACAAATTAGGCATCACCTCATTAGCCTAAAGACTTCTTTCCCTTGCTGCTTTGCACATCACAGAACTCTCTTGCTCCTCAAAAGATTCAGGAGGGAAATGGGTGCCACTGCATGACTGTGTGACATTGCGTCACAGTGCCACAGATGCCTTGTTCTTTTAATGACACCCCCCACTCTATTGTAACCATTGCTCTGCTATGATGCAAATTCAGGGTGCCATCCAGCGCCAGTGAAATCAGGCAGAATCCTGCCACGGGTTTCAGCTGGCACTCTCAGCCCTGCCTTTCCCTGTTCAAGCTTCGTGGGAATATTATCTCCTTATATCCTGAATGTTGCCATGCAGGTCTTTATTTGGAGCATTCTGCTGTTTCCCACACCAGCCTCCCAGAGCTTGAAATGTGGGATTAAGTGCCCTGCTCAGTTACATAATTAGATCATGGTTTGTCTCCTTATCCTCATGAAACAAACTAGCAATCATTTGTTCTTAGTAAACAAACAAATAGGTCCAAATAGGTTCTCCAGATGTGGTTATTCTTAAAAATCCACCACAGCCTCGTAACTTGTCTGATTTCAGCCAAGAGGTTTTTGCCAGGGAAGGGAGAAGAGAGCCACAACTTTCAAGGATCTCGGGGCTGGGTGACTTTTACTATCCAATTATTGCTCCCCTCCCGATGCACATCTGGCTGCATGGACAGAAACCAAGCCAACGAAGATACCCGCCCCTTCCCTCTCTTTCTGGTAAACAGGATCGGAGAACAATTGAATCCTTCAACAACACAACACACACACGCCTTCCCCACAGCCTTCTCCACCAACATATCCGGAGTTCCGACCCAAAGGGAGAGAGAAACAGATCTGGAAGAAGTGGCCGGCTGCGTTTCAAGCCTCCCTCCATCACCTCGCCAAGCCTTTCCAGGTTTTCACCGGCGAACCAAGAAGAGGATGCGAAACGGACCGTCCCTTTGTCGCCATGCTGTTGGCACCTCCGTCTCCAAAAAGCACAACTTTGGGACGGGATCTGCTCGGGTGGGCGAGGGCGGAGGGGGAAGGAGCGAGGGCTGGATCCCTCCTGGGCTTCGCGCACGGCGAGAAGGAAGAAAGCTGCATTGCCCTACCTGTTCGGCGCACGGCTTCGCTCACTCGATCATGATTCCTCCCTCCGAGACCGAGCAGGGTGGGCGCGGGTGGGTGGCTTTTTTGGGGGCGGCTGGTCGCTCACTGGAGGATGGAAGGTCGATTTCGAGCCAATGCCCGTCTCCAAGGCAAGGGCAGGCGAGGCGTCCCGCGTCTACAGCGGTTCCGCGCTGCTCTCCGCGGCGCCCATCCTGCGCGCTGCTCACCTGCCTCTGGATCGCTTTGGGCTTCCTCCACAAGCGCAGCCGGGCGAGAGGGCTGGAGTTGAGCGGGCGCCCGCTGGTCGCCCAGGCAGAGTTCAGCGGGATGGCGAAGGCATCGAATGGGCACCACGAGGGAAGGTGGGGAGGCGGAAGAAGAAGATCGGAGGGGAGCAAGAACAATAAAGCGCTGGCAGCGAGCAAAGTAATGGAGCGCTCAGGGACACGTCACGAAAGCCCGCAGCTTCAATGAATTCCGCTCGATCCCAGCCTGGGTTTCCAGTCGCTGGAACAAAACAAGAGCAGATAAAACTTCGCGCAGTGCCATCTAGTGCAGAACCGACGAAGTACAAGCTATGGCAGGTTCTCCCAAAGACCACTTTTTTTTTTTAAAGAGGGGAGATTGTTTCCTTTTCAGCTTGGAAGAGACTAAATGGAAACTTTACTGCGTGTGCAACCAACCCGCTCCGTTTCCTGGGAACAGGTTTTTATTTTTCCTGAGCTGAGGCAAAGGAGGACAGACGCTAGATTGCTTGAAGTAGGAGGGGGACATGTGGAATTCATAGTGTTTCCTTCCTTCCTTCCTTCCTTCCTTCCTTCCTTCCTTCCTTCCTTCCTCTCCCTCTCTTTCTAAAAAAGGCTGTGTGGATTATCCGTTTTGGCGAAGAAAATAGGAACATTTTTGGCAAGGATAAAGAAATTGAGAGACATTATCACATTGGCTGTGGCGAGTTGCAGGCTGTGGTAGGATTTTGAAGCTTTGCTTGACAAGGTCCACACTGAATAACAACAAGCAAGAATTCAGAGAAAGCTTCTGTCTATAAATGGGAGAAGATAGTAATGAGACTTTGTAGGGCAAAGTGGTGTAGATTTAAAAAATGAGACAGGAACATAGGAAGCTGCCTTATACCGAGTCAAACTATCGGTCCTTCTAGCTCAGTTTTGTCTCTGCTGGCTGCCAGCAGCTGTCCAGAGTTTCAGGCAGGGGAGATCTCCCTCAAGATGCTGTGTGTTGAACCTGCAGCCTTTGGCACACACTGGGCCATGGCCCTTTCCCTAATGATATCGGCTATTGGGATTCTAATCTGGGTGGTACAGATGAAGATAGAGCCCCCCCCCCCATGTTTAGTGACCTTGGTAGGAACTTAACAGATGTGGAGTGGAAGCCCATGACGTGTATTTCCCTCTGGGCAAATTAATATGGTGGTGGGTCTCACTAGTGCAGCACTTTGCAGTAGCCCTAACTACACAGCAAGCATTTTTTAAAAAGATGAAATGTTTAGGGCAAGGGGCAGCAGATCTGTGGGCCAGTGCAAAAGACCTGGGGCTCAGCCTACCCCTGAGCCACCCCCTCACAATGTCCCTGGTGACAGTGCATCTCTGATCACCAGATACTGGGTGGGGACAAGCAACAAGCAAGGCTGGTGAGCTCCATCATGCTCATGAGATTCCAAAGGGTGGCTGTCTGAGCTTGGTTGAAGAGAGGCAAGCCCAGTGGTGGATCATGCTCATTGTGACTGGTAGGGCAAGCTTCACTTGACTCTGGACCTAGCTGGTCCTTCACTATATTCAACAAAGCAATTCTTGATGGTGCCAAAGCTGTTGCTCTGCAGGGGTCAATGGATGACCATTGCAGGCTGGCATCTTGCTCTTAGTGTGGAGGCATCTCTCTCTCTCTCTCTCTCTCTCTCTCTCTCTGTGTGTGTGTGTGTGTTTGAGTGCTTGACCACTGCCAGTCTTGCTCTTTCATATTCCTGCTTATTGTTCTCCATTGCTTAAACAAGACCAAAATAGCATTCTGTGAAAACTGAACATGTCTAATACTGGCAAATTCTAGATGGGAAACTGGCACATGATTCCATGTAATTAACTCCACACTTCCTGAAGGTGGTGTGTAGTATATTTGCAGCTGACAAATACCACTGTCTTGGTCTGCACTTTATTAGTGGGAAAATGGGGAAGAATGGCAGCCTATTTGAGTAACTTGGCCTAAGTCTAGTATTTATGTGAATGAATCTGTACAGTGAACCCTGGATTTGATCTATGTTATAGTCCATGTGGGATGTTTCTGGGCCTTCATTACATCCAGCATGTAGTGCTGGCATGCAGCTTGGGAACTACAGATCTGCAATTTCCAAACAGTAATGGCTTAAAAAAAAAAAAGACACTTGGAAAAGTGTTGTTTACAGGCTTCTGATGCTTTTCTCTGGTTTTAGTAATATAGTGAAGCAGAGTTTCTGTTAGTCAGGAGGTCAGGGTGCATGCTGGCTTATATGACCACAGTCCCTAGCTAAAATATTTGACACTGAAAGGATGGTTAAAATGAGTGTTTGGAAAATGCATCTCAGTTGGATATCAGTAATATGAACAGCCAATTCACATGACTCAACTGGCATGTTAAGAACATAAATGTGAGTCCAGTGAATTTGTTGCACACACACACACACACACACACACACACACACACTGCTTGCCACAACTTACATTTGTTGCACCATTGGCTGCCGTACTCACGAAAGTGTGCTGCAAAGTGGCTCACACCTTTATTTCACCATGCAACTGTACGGATCCACCTTCCCACATTTTCATGCAGCAACTGTTTGGCTGAGTGAGCTGGCTCTGAGATTTGTGCATTCAAAGGGGAGATTTTCAACAGCAAATCTGGACCTTTTAATAGGAAAACATGAACATAATCCAACCAAAGATTGATATTCCACCAACGCTCCTTAGAGACTAGCCGAGATGCTCTATTACATGTTGAATTGCTCTTTTCATGATAAACGAAGAGTGATCACTGCCTTTATTATCTTACAACATTGTATTAGCCTTGGGACTTGACCCACAAGTTATTTATTTTTGCTCAGATGAAAAGCACGGGATTTTGAACAGGATTCTTCTCTGATTGCAAATAATACTCGTGTTCCACTGCACTGAAAGAAAGTGTGACAGGTTTTTTTTTTAATGCTGCCATTCATCAGTACCTCTAATAGTGCCATGTTTAGTTCCCTTTCAGAACTGACAAGGAATTAAAATGGCAAGCAACTTTTACATATGATATTTAAAGGGCCAAATTCTGCTATTGTGGAGAATATTTCATGCCTCGTGGAGATGAGATACCATCTGTTTGGAAAATTTTCAGAGCATGCTGCAGACCCAGAACGGGAGGGGAACAAAGACAGCAGTGGGTGGAAACTAGCTAAAGAAGCTTTGTTATTTGAGTCACACCAGAGGGAAATTCCCCTTGTCCTTTCTTCAGTATTTCTTTTCCAGTTGCTGTGGTATTTGGCAGCTAGACTTTCAAGGCCGAGAGGTTTTAAGTCAGGAATCCCATGGAGGTGCTGCTCAGAATGACTTATGTAGCAAACAATAAATTGCATTACAGCTTTTATTCTTTGAGACATTAATTAAGATATGTAATTATCAGAAATCCTCAATTTTTAAACAGCTGCCAGGATCTACATTTAGGATTGCTGCACTTGGATATATGGAATAATAGGGGAGAGGGGAAACCCACTGGTTAACTAAAGGTTCTCTGTGTGTAAAAGGTTGTGGAGTTATTGCTGTAATTCAACTGCAAAATCTGATGTCTATAATAAATCTTTCTTTGTTTTCCCTCTCTCCTTTGTTAAATCCAGTACACAACTTTCCCCATATTTTTTCCATATATTTACGTATGAACTTCACCATGAAACGTTCCTTTTATATTAGCCCCCTGCCCTTCTGTTGCTTTTCCTTGCATCATGTCATCTCATTTTAAATGGCAGGTGTTTGGCTTAGATCTTGTGTTCAATAATGAATTTGAATTGGCAATATGTAAAGAGATGGTTGTGGGCTGTAGTGTTCAATGGCTATCATCGTTCAACAGAAAACGCCAAATTGCTTTGATTTTACTGCCTCCATTTCCACCGCTTTCTGGATGCTTGGCTCATCTCTCCCATGAAAGGCAGCTGTAAATGTTGCCACTATGCTTTGCTCTGCCATGCGACTGCTTTATGATATATGATAATCAGATTATGTTGTCTCCCTAATTTACAACCTCATTAACCTATATGGGGGAGAGGAGGGAGCAAATAACCCTGTCGATCAGAATTTGTAGCCAGAATGAATGATAAAAAATCTCATCTTGTCCAATTGTTACAAAGGGGATGTGAATGCCAGAAGAGTGTGCACATTTAGGCTGCATTGGTTCATTATTCTGTAGCTGGATTCCTAACTGCAGCCTCCCCCCTCCCTATAAACTATATTGAAGTCCACTAAGTCATAGCCTATTCAGTACTAATTCTGCCTCTCCCTATCTAACTGTTTCTCTCTCAACTTACCCGTTCTTACTGTAACGTCTCAGTTGAAATCCCCATTATGGCTCTATCTGGCTTCACCATCATGATAGCAAAATATTGCCAACCATGATCAGGGGCAGTAGATCTCCGAATGGGGGGTATACAATGTGCCTTCATGTCATTATTGTCAGTGTCCTAGAGGCATCTGCTGGTTACTTGTTTGAAACGAAATCATAAACTGAGGGCAAGTTTAATCCTGTGTCTGAGTTCCAAACTCCAAAATCAATTCCCCTTCAATTAATTTACAGCAGACCATTCAAAGCCCATCTAGATGCTCCCAAATATTTTCCCCAACCCACCAACAAAGTTCTTTTCAATAAATTGTATCTAAAACATTCAGAGCCCACCAGATCTCCCATGGCTATTCACTTTCTGCTAGTTTAACCCTCACAACATTCAGGTTCCACTCAAACCCTCCCAATTCAATCTCCCATTTAGACCCCTAAAATCTATTCACCTTTAATTTATTGACTCCCAGACATTCACCCCACCCAAACTTCATTTCTTGTTCTGTGGTTCATCACACACTGGCATATTAACAGTGGAGGCTCAAAGCCTTAGGTCCTGCCCGCCACATTGAAAGGAAGAATACAATTAAAATACAACAACTAATACTCACGGCATTCATTGGATGATGGTGGTGATTTGCCCCCAAGATGGCTGTTTGGTGCACTGCATGTCTTCTTACTGGCAACTTCCCCAGCTTGGTGGTAAACTCTGTCAAACTCACTGCAATGTGCTTCCAAATAAACACGCAGATCATTGGGCTGCCACCTACTTTTTTATTGTTATCAGATGTGTGCGAAACCACAGATAGGGCACACCTTATCGAAACAGCCTCTTTTTCTAACCACCAGGAGGTCTGAAATCAATAATGAAAGGAATTATAAACAGTGCCTCAAATGTAGCAATTAGAAAGCAGTCAAAACAGATAATTATGCTTTTAAGCAGCTACCTTTCACCCTTCCACTAATCTGTTGCCACATAAAACTTGGAAACTTATTTCCTTTTCTTGGTGAGGCTCCAAGTATGTAATAGATGGTG